ACGACAAAATTAGTGCAATCAGTATATAGCGAGCAAGCATGGTAACAATGCTGAAAAGAATGCGGGTGTGATAAGCGAGGTCAGAATGGTCGAGACTCAAGAACAGGGCATTCGGATGAGGCAACATGCAGCTGATAAGGACGGTTATGTTTATTAGGTCAAATGGTCACGGACAGTTAAGTGAAAAGTGGAGGGAATGTTAACAAGTACATTTAAACTGGACTGGAAACAAAACTGTTGGACGGGTGCACGGTAGAAAGTGAGGTACAACTATCAGAACAATTGTGGTTTTTCGAAATGGGATAAACTTACCGTGAGGGGGATAAATTGACAACCATTTGCTTCTGGACACATGGTACCGAGTTGGTTCGACAAATAGCAACAGCCTCAGCAAATCGTAGACTTTGCTTCGTTCGAGAGCAATATATAATATGAACTGCATCATCAGCACAGGCTCGATGACCCGTCTCGTGTAAGTGTTTCGTGATTGCACTTCGGGCAACACTAGTTCCGGTGGTACCTAGCCATTTTGGAATGTGATCATTGATACGTGTCCCCAGTTGCCTCGACGTGCTGCCAACATTCTTGCATCCACAAGTACAGGTGAAACCATATGTTACATTTGATCGGGCGATCAAAGCGACCGAGTCTTTCCTGGTTGAGCTCGGTAGTCGCGTAGTTTCCTCAATGAACACCACCTTCGCGGGGTTGTGGGTCCGTTTTGTTGTGGTTGTAAGTCTTTGTCCGATTAAAGCTGAAATGTCATCTCCTTTAAATGGCAGAGGAAGATATGCATTTTTCAGTGGGGAAGTTATTATAGTGGGTTCTGTTAACTTGGTGTCTTTCTCGATGATCATAGGTGGATAACTATTGTCAATCAGTGTATCACGAAGGTGCTGTTCATCACTCGACCTTATTAAGTGTGACAATCTTACGAACCCTATAAAACACCGTACGGCAGAGACCACGTTTACATGAAACTTGGGCAGAACTTTTAAAATGTCAATATTGCCCAGACCGGGTTTTCTTATGGTCTATGCTTCTAGACAGATAATCGTATACATCCCAATGCAGCAGAACATCAAGGAATGTAATTTTATTGTCCCTTTCGGTTCCTATCGTGAGCTTAACGTTTTTGTGCAAAGAGTTCAACTGGTCACGCAACTGGACCATTTGAACCAGCGAATTGGAACTGATAAAAGTGTCATCTACATATCGTCCCATTCCGAAAATCCACCACTGTTCTGATAGTTGTACCTCACTTTCTACCGTGCACCCGTCCAACAGTTTTGTTTCCAGTCCAGTTTAAATGTACTTGTTAACATTCCCTCCACTTTTCACTTAACTGTCCGTGACCATTTGACCTAATAAACATAACCGTCCTTATCAGCTGCATGTTGCCTCATCCGAATGCCCTGTTCTTGAGTCTCGACCATTCTGACCTCGCTTATCACACCCGCATTCTTTTCAGCATTGTTACCATGCTTGCTCGCTATATACTGATTGCACTAATTTTGTCGTAGTAACAGGTGAGATGCGAACGAGATGTCCGTGCACAAGACGTCCTATGCTATACTGTTGGCCTTTTACGAATATCTTTTTATACGGTAATTAAGTCATGCCCCGTGTTGTCATTTGCGCAGTGTTCAACATAGGTATCTCATGACTGTGGTGAGCATATGCATTACTGACGAGTTCTAGCCAAAGCGGAACAACTGCTCAACTTTATTTTGAACGAATTGACCTCGGCAACCGGTTAACCGGTCGTCTGACGATCGATGAGTTCGAGTTCTTGGAGCATACTACAATCAAAAGGTCGCTTTTGTCAATTGATACCCACTTGGGAATATGTCCTGCCTTGTGTCGATACATGAAAAGACCAGTTTGGCCTACTTGTTTGGTCCGTTCTCCCGTTGTTGTTGTTGTGACTAGTTTGTATAAAATTTGCGATTTCTACGTCATCGACTAATGGGATTAAGTTGAAATATTCCCGTCTCCCGGTGTATGTCTTTCCTTTGTTCTGACTAGGCGGAAAAGGGGAACTCAGGGTGGTAGACACTGTAGAATGAAAGAAAGTTGACCAGCAACTCATAGAAGACCGTGCATAGTTTTTGGCAGCGATAAGCGAGCTGGGCGTTATTTGCTATTCATCGTGATCCAGTTTCCAAGAACAGATATCTAAACGTGAAGTAATGACAAAACAACCTATCTCAAAAGTAAGCTTTCTGACGTTTACTTGTATCTTCATGCACCGGAGAAATATGGATATCTGTCTTCTGTTAGAAGAATCCATTTACATACAAAATATACAGATAATTACGAGTGGTGCTCAGTCGTGTCGTTATCTGTTGCAAATGAACCCATCAGTAATATTGTCTGTCTGTCCAACCTGAATGTCGATAGATTATGATGATGTGTTCAGGCATCTCCTGTGACACAGAACATCTAAAGCATCGCGATTGGATGAGATTTCATTACTCCGGTTATAAATGTAACACTTGTCTCACCTCATACATTTGCCTGTTAATTAAAACTGACTGAGGGTTAACGGTGTAAGCTAAAACAAGCTACGCTACACTACTGGTTCCCAATTGGTCTTCCGTAATCTTCAGTGTTTGAAAAGTTTCATGGCAAGGTTATTGATGACCAGAATCACTTTGACCATCAAACTGTTGATACATGTTTCACATTGTTACACTCTTTCCGCTTCCTTTGTCGATAAATGAGCATTTAATTTTTGTTGTACAATAGGATGAGCATAGGAATTAATTTTCTGACGGTAAAGAATCCTACAATATCAATCCTATCTGTTTTATCTAGTGTTATACGGTTAATCTATTAATCGTCATCAGTTTGTTCGTTTTAACTGTACATCGTTCACGCCATTCCCAAACAACTTTGAAACTCTTCACTGTAACATTCGCTCTCCTTAATTCCTTTTTCAATTATCGTTTGCTGTAGACCGTCATTAGTGAACACGCCCTTGCTCTCAAAGGTCTAACCAGTCGATCATGATCAGTCAGTGGTTTACGTCTGTCATTACCTCAGCAAATATGTTTTGGTATTGAAAAGTGTCACTGTACCGGCTTAAAAGCACACACATTTCTTAAACTAGAAAAGCAATTAACTGGTTGTGATAGTTTAAGTCTTCTAGTTATCATCACACTTCTGAAATAATATGGTCGATGTATTTAGGTGAAACAAAATCTGTGATTATGAGTACTACAGTTTAAATTATTGCTAACCAACTGTAAAATCTTTTGTACGTTTCTGCCCTCCTTGTCTGTTGTTTAAGTAAGTCTTCTTGTTATTGTTAGCAAATTACTTTAGGGATTTCTAACCGCTCCCTCTTCAGTTTGTGATATTCAATGGTCCTCTTTATGTAGTCATAATTTGCCAAAATATCTGACAGTCAATGAGTAACTTGCACACTTCTTATTCACGGTTGTCAGGTTTTAACACAAATTCGCTTAAGGATTACACCGCGTTTTTCGTCTTGTACTAACATAGAACCCTCATAAAACCTGTTCACCTGTTTAGCATGACAAAATTAAAATATATCTACCAGACTATCCATTACTGTTGGTAACTAATTGTTTGTGCTTCCGCACACAGCAATTGAGACACACAACATTGCTCTAACAAAAATATTTTAGTGCTTCCTCGAGGGTGTCCATAGAATAATGCTATCATTATTTGGGTTACCAGACAAATCACCTGCCTTGGCTTAAATTTGTAGCAATAAAATTCTTCACTTTTTCAGGCTAATGAAAGTATTAGACAACAGTCTATGACATTACATCACAAAAACGAGAATAAAAGTGTGTGCAACTTTTGCTAGATTCGTATCATCCCAAGAATTCAAACGATCTGATCACATTGCTGGCAGAGTTTCAATTAGGTGATTTTGTATTTTAACGCTCTTTTAGCACTGCAATGCGACTAGCGGAATTCATTGTATAAGTCAACTGTAATTATTGACATCAATGTCAAATATAACCGAGTTGATCTATACCCAGTCAATTAGGTTTCATGTCAAATCAGCGTAAGTTGAACGCCACTAACGTTTGCTTCTACCTTCGGTATTTACACTGCCTTTCCAGCCAACCTGTTTTGAAAAGATTGTTAACCAAAATTTTATCTCTGCAAAGCTTTGCCACTAGTGCATGTCACCGCCAAAAACGTCACTTAAACTGCGATCCACCTGTGACAATCGTGATATTTCCTGCATGACTATATAAGTGGACAAACACTGCGCAGCTTCCAGCAAGGAGTAACCCGGAATACTAGAGAGATGCAATCGATCAACAGAAATTCCCCAGTTTAGACTACCGGAAAGTCAATTAGGCGGGAGAAGAGAGAATAGTGTTTACACAGATGCCTGTTACGTTGACTTCTATTAAGAATTTCTTTAAAGATACTGAGCTCCACTGTATGGCCCACAAATCGTTCTTTGAGAGATATGATCGTTTACTAAACTGTGCTTGTGGTTGGCGATTTGCGGCTGAGCAAATAATAGCTTAACAAATGCGTAATCGGATAGGAATTATCAAGAAAAACCACATGGTTGCAGGATAGCAACAGAGTGAGAACCACAAAAACCAGAAGAGGGATGATGCCTGACGTCATTCGCCTCAGGGAACTTTGCTTACAGTTTGTCAAGAAGCCCTTAATGTGTGACATGTTCTTCGTAATTATTGTAATTTATCGCCTATAATGTAACATAATTATTTCACTTACGATGGCCGTATTCAATATCATTCAACACCAATCTTCAAAGGAAAGCTCGACACGGAAATTTTTCCCGTATGCTTCTGCCAAATTACTTATTAATAATATAATTTCTATGCTCAACAATGGCAGTGGTGGATTCCAGCGTGAACTGTTCAAGAAATCCTACAGGGGCAGTCGATCCCCTAGATCATTTAGTGGAGTCTATATGAGGCGGTGGGACGGGTGGGTAAAATAATCGAAATGTGAAATTTCCGAGCTCCCGGTGTGGCTTCGCAGTTCAGCTGGTAGAGCGCTTGCAGCGTTGATGCATGGTGCTTGTGTCGCTGGTTCGAATCCAACCGAAGCCCTGACTTTTCACAGTTGGGTCTTATCTAAAATCATAAATGTGCCAAACTTCTTATTAATAATGACTTCTTAGTGTTTATCGTAGCCTGAGACCAAACTCAGTTATGACGAGTACAACTAGCGTAATGAATAATTGGAAAGGATGGAATTTCATCAGAAAAACTTTCACGGCTCCACAGTGTCCATGACCATTACGAACCGTCAGCTAATAATTGAAAACAGCCCTCCGAATCCTCTTGCCAAATGCATATATGTGGATAGTGAGAATGGGGTATAGTAGGGAGATGCGATCCGGACTGAGCGACCAGTTAGTCCATTCCGTCAGGAGGATCGCAATTGATTGGTCTAGTTCTATGTTTTGGAAAGACGGTTGTCTCCACATACGTCGTTTTGTCAGACAGCGCACATTCAAGGCAACAAAGTTCATGTGATGGTTTGCACAAGGTTGAAAAGCTGGACCAGTTCTTGAAGGATACCAACAATAGCAACCACCCTGACAAACTGGGATTAATCCCATCAGGTGTGACATTTACAGGTCCGTATAACATTTGTTCTTGATTAATGAGAGTTTGTTTCATACAGTTACGTACGTATAAGAATGACTGAAAACTGCTGTTGACTAAATTGACTTAGTTGGTGGTAATATTCGTAGGACATGTTGTAATCGGTCGGTATTGTCGTTTGTGGCTTTCACTTAGAAGTTATTTTGACGTTGTGACTCAGTTAAATCTCTTGAGGTGTTTAAATCAAGCAAGCGTGAGATCTGAATACATGTACTTCACTATAATTACAGGAAACAGTATGTTTTAGAGTACCTTGGTTCATTACTAATTTACAAAAGGTAATTGCATCTGGGTAGCAAAAACCAAGAAGGGTAATAAATGCAGATAAAAGACACACACAATCAAGTTGGTGGATTGGTCTGACAACTAGTTTTCAACCAAACAATTGAGCCGATTATTATGTGTTATGTTGAATGGCTGAGTAATCCACCATTCACATCCAGCTAGAGCGCCCTTCTATTCAAGCAGATGGAAATCGCATACAACCAAAAGCTATCGTGCTGTTCTCACAGCCATTTTAACTCCTCAATGAAATTTATGTTCAGATTTGTACGAGTGAAATTGAGATTACAATGGAAAATTGTTTGCCTAGAGGCGCGACTCACTGAACCGTTGCATTCGGCACCTGGACGTTACCGTTGCGCTACGCGACCACGACCGACGGCCTGCATAATGTCATTCCCACTTGCTCCTAAATATGTACTCCACCGATTGAACATATATACATATCCTCATTTGTTAATTACATCCAATACTGCCCAAACTTTCTCACCCTGTTACACATTACATACTGTGAACTGATACCACGAACTCTCGCCTGAAATCTCCCTTTTTATTTAATTTGTATTACCTCATTGAACTGCTTACACTACGGCATTATTGAATGTTATTTGCGTACGGTTAAATCCGCTGCCGGAGTTTAGTTACTTTTAAGTTGTATAATTAGCTAACCATTACTTATTTATGCACAAAACCTACTTAGCCGAGTAAACCTTCAATATTCTATCTTGTTCTGCCCGAATCAAGTGGTTTACAGCTGCCCGATAGGCTGCATTTACCCATAAATTCTGATCTGTTCTGCAGTTATGATACTGCCAGCTCGAATTTCGGTGACAATAAAAAATATTTCTTGGACGAACATTTATTCTGTCCTTGAGTTCCGTTGTTTTCCACCCAATGTAAGCTTACGGCGAGTCTTAGAAAAAGCACTTACATAAGCATTTACCGTTTATTTGCTCACTAAGCGGTAACTTTAATACATGGTGACAGAAAACAACACTTCAGTTTTGCCAAACCCTCCCTTGGCCTATGTCATCGAGAACTTAATGTACTCTACCGGACGTCTTGAGTATCGTCTACATTCCTCCACGACTTCAGCCACACAGTTCTGCAGAGAAGACTTCTAACAGTTGTTGGAGAAAGATTTCGAGTGTGTTATTTTTACGAAGGCAACAGGTGCAGCTCATTGCAACAAACTCTGATCATCAGACTTTACATGAATGCATAACTGGTCTTGAAACACCGTATTCGTTAACTATAAGGTGGAAACGCACACAGCGGAAACTCTCCTCTGTAGACAAGTAGATTGTCTGGGAACATTACACTCTACGCTGTTTGCTCTGTGCTCCATGAACCAACTAGATTGGGAATGTTAGCCACGAATCGCTTGCTTCTAACTTAATTGTGAAGTGAGTTCTGAATTATCGTTCCTTTTACTTGTGAGCTTTGGATTGGCATCTATTTGTTCGAATCACTCCGCCCTGAGTCTTGGCCTGTGCAAATAAAGCGTTTGTTCTGTATAACTGTATGGGAGGTAATGTTGTTCAGTACTTTTTGCCCAATGGTGATGCAAGCGCAGGAAAACAGTTAAGTATTCTCATTGTAGACGTAAGAACAGTATCTCAACTGCACCCAGTCCTATAAATCCACTTTCCGAATTGCTGTAGTCAATAACCAATCCGTTTCCTGTGTATAAACTTAACTGTTTTAAAGGACCCCGCTTCTCCAAAGCAACAGAAATCAACTGCAGATTTTGTTCGACCGAATAATAGAAGTTTTCTTGCATCTCAAAGTTGTTCACTTTGTTACAAGTGGAAACGCTCCCGGAGTTTGCTTTGGATTTTACATAATCTGGTCGATCAAAACATTGACCTGATTAGACAGGACAAGTCAGATTAGCGGACTGAAGTTATAGCCAGCATCCAAGACCAGAGACGACCGTGTGTCCCGTCACGCGACCACATAGTCATTTGTGGTGAAGTTAGGTTGTTTGTATCACATTGTTTTGCCCTTGACCAGTAACTCGGACAATGGCTGCGCATAAAAGTGAAACATGAAATATCGGTTGAAATGCACAAGTAGCACACGCAACACTGTCTTACATTCAACATGTTTCGAGAACACACTCAGGTGTATGAAGTGTGTACACACACCCTGAAAATTACTGACTGACAGTGAATGACTTAGAATAAATGAAACCTGCTTTTCGTATTAGACGACTTATTGTCCACCACATCTCAACCGTATCCCAATTACCGATTGGTTTGACATGCGATCCTGTGTGCGTGCAGCATAGTCTCTGCCTGTTTTGGTCAATTGAGTGAGGTTCATCGCCAATTAACTGAGCGTCCAGCTAACCATTTTTCCATGGTTTTTACCTATCATCGGAGGAAGTCTTTGGTTGTTCAAAACTAGTTGAAAGTGATCCGCCCAACCACACAATGCACTTTATTTCTCCAAGAAATATTACCGTCCAAAGTAGCTGTATTCTACCGAAATGTTAAAAGCCAGTTGTTTTAAGCTCATCCCATGGCAAACATACAATGAAAGAATTAGTAAACTGTCAATAAATAGGGTCGCAGTGTATCTGAAACGCTGTCTCGTCAATACTCTTCTATACCATATATCTACCTAGCGAGTTCAGTCGAGCACTGTAAATTGTCTGCTAAGTAGTGAACGTCAATCAAAATCCTACTGACCAACTACAGTGTCACTACTTTGGAACAAACTTCGTTATGTGAATGGCCGCTGCTTCATACTGGGTTTCTTTCTGTATATCGCTGTGACCTATCGGGTCAATCGTTTGAACGTCATAAAAATAATGCTCTCCGAGCAATTCCGATCGAACCTAGTGTTGATGAATGCAACTATATTCAATTCTAAAATGTGAGTTAACAAAACAACATGACTTTTTAAAAACCAACGGTTACTGCCTAAATCGATAACTTGCCCAAATACATATTTCATTTTTTATGATGATAAGACAGCCACAGATGATTTTACAATGCAACCCTCTATATCACTTGAATCAAAATGTTAGTCTGTGAAAAATCTCGCAGCATTTTCAAGCCAAACACCACTCATATTTGGCCGCAGCCTTCACATTCCCATAGACTATCCAGTCGGCCCCTTTCGAAAAAAAGCACCGGACTTAAGTTTCGCTCTCAATTGAGCTCGCCAGTAGTGCATATCCTCGCTACTGCCGAGACCAGAACTCCGGTCACGCTTTTCATGAGGCAATTGTGTTTACCTCACATTAGGCACGGCCGAATTATCATCGCATGTGAACGCTCAACCACTTTTGCTTGTGAGTAATGATAAGGTTGCCCGATCGTCTTGAGAGGATGCAGAATAACTGCCCACTTATTGATAATCGATAGTATTACGGTTAGGACTCCTGAGACCTGCACTTTCTAGACAGACCACATAGGAGTTCTAAACCTGGCCGTGGCAAGGATATGCAATATTGACGAGCTCTAACAAGAGCAAAACTCGAGTCTAGTGCTTCTTTTCGAAAGAAGCTGGTTGGAACTTCTACATGATTACGGAGGTTGCTATCAAATGTGATTGATGTTCAGCGTGAACTTAACCATATCTCCGACTGCTCATCAACATTATATTTTAATGATGTCCTCCGACCAAAAAACGAATTTTCCATCTTGTTAACAGCTCCATGTTCAACACTTATTGTTAAATGCTTAATCTGCTTAATTAATTCCTTTTATCTCTAATTACTTGTCAGAGTTGATGTGTTACCTTATAAGCTTAACTGTAGTCCGGTTTTAGCCGTTGGAGTCTCAGTAATATTTGGCAAAAGTCCCTCAGTAACCTCTGTATTTTAGCTGGATTATAGGAGAAAGTTGAATGTCTCTATAATCACTTTCGGAACAGTCAAATCGACAACGATATTCCTCTAGAAGACCAAAAGCTTCATTGTTATTCCGCACCTTCAAATTCAACTTCCAATTCAACAGAGAGCCCTATAGGCAAAACGATGATGGAACGAGAAGCTTTTCGCTTGAGCTAATATTTACGACACATATTTACATGATTTAGAGAAAAAAGAGAAGTCACTAAAAACCATTATGCAGACGATATGTTTGTCTACTGAAAGAAGCTGTAGGTTCCCAGATTATAAAAGTTGACTATAGTTGCTTACA